AGAACCAGAATCGGAATGAGAGTGAGACTGAGAGTGCAAATGCCACTGCTACTGCGAGCGAGAGTGAGGATGCATGTGAGACCGAATGAAACTGAAAGTGAGAGTGCAAGCGCGACTGCGACTCAGAATGAGAATGGATGTGGCACGGAAAATGAGAATGGAAATGAAAGCCTGAGTGCGATTGCGACTGCGTCTGAGAACGAGAAGGGCAGTGACACTAAAAGTGAGAGTGAGGGTGGGGGTGCGACTGCGACTGCGACTGAGGGTGAGAAGGAAAGTGAAACTGAAAGTGAGACTCGGAGTGAAAGTGAGACTGAGAGTGCGACTGCGACTGAGGGTGAGGGTAAGATTGAAGCTGAAGGTGAGACTGAAAGTGAAATTGCAATTGCAACGGCGACTGCTTTTCAGAAGAAAAACAAAAGTGAAAGTAAGAGTGAAAATGCAACTGCGATTGGTACTGCAACTAGACGTGAGTATGAAAGTGAGACTGACAGTGAAAGTCAGAGTGCGAGTGCGACTGCCATTGCGGCTGCGACTGCGACTGAAAGCGAGGCTGAGAGTGGGAATCAGAATCAGAATGACAGTGCGACTGCGACTGCGAGTGAAGGTGGGAGTGAAGGTGCGACTGTGACTGCGAGTGGGAATGAAGATGAATGTGAGACTTGAGAATGGGAATGAGACTGCGACTGCGATTGCAACTGCGAATGAGAAAGAAAGTGAAACCGAACAGGAAATTGAGAGTGAGAATGAGAGTGAGACTGAAAGTGAGCATGAGAGGGAGAGTGCGACTGCGAGTGCGACGGAAAGTCAAAATGAGAATGAAACTGAGATGTGGGGGTGAAAAGTGCGATTGCGACTCAGGATGGGATGAAAGTGCAACTGAAAATGAAAAGGAGGGTGCGACCGCGAGTGCGACCGAGAATGAGGATGGGAGTGAAAGTGACTGTGAAAGTGAAAGTGAGGGTGTGGCTGTGTCTGCGACTGGGACTGACAATGACAGTGAAACTGAAACTGAGGGTGAGGGTGAGAGTGGGAGTGAAACTGCGACTGCGACTGAAAAAATGACAATGAAGGAGACTGCAAATGAGGGTAAGAGTCAGAGTGCGACTGCGACTGCGACTGGGAATGAAAATGAGAATGACACTGAACATGGTAGTGAGAGTGAGCGTGAGTGTGAGACTGAGAATGAAAGTGAGAGTGAGGGTGAGGGTGAAGGTGAAGCTAAAAGGAAAGCGGGTGCGATTGTTGCGACTGCGACTGGGAGTGAGAATGAGAGTGACTCTGAGGGTGACACAATGAAAGTGAGAGTGAAAGTCAGAGTGCGACTGCGACTGCGACTGGGAGTGGGAATGACAGTGAAACTGCAAGTGAGGGTGATAGCGCGACGCCGACTGCGACAGAGAGTGAAAAGGAAATGAAACGGAGAATAAGAGTGATAATGTGAGTGCACCTGCGACTGCGACTGAAAGTGAGAATGAAAATGAAGGTCAAAATGAAAAGGTTGAGGGTGCGAGTGCGACTGCGACTGCAATTGAGGGTGAGAATGACAGTGAGACTGACAGTGGGGGTGAGACTGAGAGTGAGGCTGAGTATGGGGGTGAGAATGCAACTGCGACTGGGACGGAGCGTCATCATCATCGTGATCGTTATCATCATCATCATCATAATCATTGTCGTCGTCGTCGTGTCATCGTCATCGTTATCATCATTCTCGCCATCGTCATCCATCAAATTTCCCCTTTGGAGCACGTCAGATTGTTTTATGTCCCTTTTGAGCACGTCAGCTTTGCTTATTCCCTGTTTGAGCACCTGAGATGTGTTTGTTCCCCGTTTGAGCACGTCAGATTTGTTTGGTTCCCTGCGGAACACGAGGATTTTTTCCCCTCGTGAGCACATCAAATGTGTTTGACTCCTCCGGAACACGTCAAGTTTGTTTATTTCCTTTTGAGCACGTCAATTTTGTTGTTATCGATCACATCAAACTTGTTCACTCCCCTTTTGAGCACATCAATATTTTTTATTCCCTGTTGTGGCAGCTCAAATCTTTGTTCTTCCCCTTTTCAGCACGTCACAATTTTGTATTCCCCGTTTGAACACCTCATTGGCTTGTTCCTTTGTTGAATACGTCAGTTTTAAGTCCTTTTTGAAACACGCCAGAATTGTTCCTCTTGAAAGCACATCAGAATTGTTGACGCCTGTTTTGAGCAGGTCCGATTTGTTTGTTCCCGTCCGGAGCACGTCAAATTCTTTTATGCCCCTTCTGAGCACATCAGATTCGTTTAGTCCTCTTCTGAGCACGACAGATTATTTTATATGCTTTGGAGAACATCAACTACGATGTCGGTGATGCTGTCGCTTCTTCGGACGGATGCCGCTTCTCGTGCTGCTGACGGTGTTGATAGTCGGCTGGTAGGCCAGTCATTACCCATGATGATGATACTCATGTTCATGATTCTGACAATGATGATCCCTCCTCCGGAAATTCAGGCGAAACATCGTGTGTGAAACCTAACAAGATACATAGGTCCAGCAACACATCTGTTCAGCAATTGCTTCTAGCATGCACAGCTGTGACGTACTTGTTGGCAAGAATGCAGCCTCAGCTGGCGATTGGGAGCTCGAACGTTTACCTGCTCAAGAAGAAGGACATGTAACATTGTATGCAGATCACGGTCTTTGTTTTCATCATTCGCAGCGAGCGCGAATCCGGGCCTTAAAAACGAACCGGCTCCAGTAGGAGAAAACAAGCTGAACGAGACTTCTGCAGCGGCACTAGCAAGCGAGCGCGAATCCGGGCTGTGAAAACGAACCGGCTCCAGTAGGAGAAAACAAGCTGAACGAGACTTCTGCAACGGCACTAGCAAGCGAGCGCGAATCCGGGCCGTGAAAAGGAACCGGCTCCAGTAGGAAAAACAAGCTGAACTAGAAAACTGCAGCAGCACTAGCACTAGGGTTTCTTGTCCAAGTCGTCGTCGTCATCCTTTTTGTCATTCTCGTCCTTCTTCTCCTTTCTATCAGGAGTGCTTCCTGTGTTCGTTGGTGGCCGGGGTGGGTGCAAGCCCCGCTGGGAGTCGTATGCAAAAGTACCAGCAGGATAACGTGTACAGCGAAGCCAGCACTTAATGAATCCTGTTTGCATTTGACGGGCCTCCCAACGGGCACTTTCCTTCAAACACAAGGGGCACTCGTGCACAGGACCTGGGGTGGATCTGTCCAAGTTCGCCGGTGGATTTGGGGGCGTCCAGTTCTCGGGCAACACGAATGCTTTCCGGGGTGGGCTCCAGGGCCCCAGCTCTGGTGGGGGGGACCTCCCCAAGTTTGATTTTCTTGGCACTCGGTCCAGATAGCCCCGGGCTACGGGAAGGCGCAACTCGCTTTCGACCAGTGCCAGCGGAGCTTGTGGGACCGTTTGATGTAGGAGCGTCAGGGGGAGGCATTGTCGGAGCAGGGTCAGGACCAAAAGATGTCGGCTTGCTGGTGGGAGGGGGTAGAATGGTTGGCGGTGCTGGTGGCGCTGGTGGTGGCACCGACTGTCCGGCCCGCCGGATTTCAGTGGGTGTCGCGGATGAAGACACTGCTCGAGAGGCTGCGGCGGGTCCACGGTCCTGCGAGCAGCGATAATTTCCGTGACTCCGACGCAGCTTAAACCAAAACAGGATTTGACGCTACGATAAGACACAGGCCTAGAAGCCAACAGCACAAAAGCTGGCTTTCAGGCTGGAAGCACCGGCATTGAGGCCGGTGGCCTCCTCCCACGTTGCCGTCAGCTCGAGCTCTGCCTTTTGCAGAGCTTCTGCTAATTCCTGGTCGAACAGGATTTGTGCTTCTTCTGTTGCGTGCTTTTCGCGAAGCTTGTCCAACTTGGCCTCTGTCGTGTGCCGGCGCTCCTGCAGAGGCCGCTCCCTTTCTGCATTCTGCTTGGCTTGGAATGTGGTGTAACCATGTGCTTGGTAACGCACCAACGTAGGGGACCAGGGCAAATGGTTCTTCTGATAGTACGACGCATCTTTGCTCAACCCACAGCCCTGATGACCATGTTTCTTGTTGGTTCCCAAGCAAAACCCGCACCGTGTCATACGATGCCAATAGACAGGATCCCTACAGTATGTGGCTATGGGTTTCGAAGAAGCAATGACAAGGAAAGCTTTGCTGCCGACCAAAAACGCGGGCCTCCAAAGAGTAAGGATTTCTTTATCAAAGGCCTCCTGAAGAGTGCGCTTTGAGAAGTTCCACAAGGCTATGTCCCCTTCTGGGTGGGTTACTCCACAATTAAAGAGGGAAGCTACGAGGTAGGTAGGTAGGTAGGTAGGTAGGTAGGTAGGTAGGTAGGTAGGTATCTCTTCCAGGAAGTGATGACTTTTCATGTTTCACAGAATTCATTTTCTCTGCTAGGCGTGCGTCTTTGATGGATTCCATCGCATCAACTGAGACATGTATGTATGTATGTCTGTGTATGTATATATATATATATATGCATATATATATATACATACCATCATATGCATATACTCTGGAGAAAGTAACTCAAGTTGAGTTTCTGCACGTCACTCAGAAGGCCTTGTCCCTAAGTGAATGACGCTCCCATTGCCTCGAAAAACATCCGGTATGAGGGATCTAGGTACGTAACCCTTTGGGCGTGTCTGGGTGTGTGTATATATATATATGTACATAAAATATATATATATATATAAATATAATGTACACACATTCACACTTGTATGTGTACATGGCCTAAGCAAAAGGAGGGAGTTCTACAAACCCGCAACATGTCGTCAAGCTGCGGGCTGAAGATGTCGACTAGCAATTCTTTTAAGTCACCGCCGATGTGAGCTTGGGCAGGGCTTGGTTTTGGGTGGTCTAAATTCAAGACTTTTCCATGTAACTTGAAGCCGCCGTCCCTAAGAAACCTAAGCCCGGGGACCGGGATTGGGGCTGAAAGTTGGGGCTTCGGGCATCAGGAGTCGTTCCCCGGATCTGAGCATCGGGTGCATCCAAGCTGCATCTTCAAGGTCTGACCTGGACCTTACGCAGGGCTCAAGGTGTGGTTTCTTCGCGAATAGTTGCCTGGCGTGTTGTCGGATTGTGAGTACAACCATAATAAGGTTACAAGTACCCCGAACTGCTCCTTGGTGTACTCGAAGTGGGAGCACGGTCTGGTTTTGACTTGACAGTTGAGTCTGTTAACCTAGAGAGCCCAACAGCTTTGATGAACTTAGAGTTCTGGTGCTCTCTGGGCGGAGCTTTTAGATCTTTAAGCGCTTCAGTTCTTCCGGCGAGGGGAGTTTTGATTTCGGGGTTTAGCGTCGTGACATCCTTCAAGTTTGCGGGGTTAAAGATCTTGGGTCTTGGGGACCTCAGACTTAGACGCTCTTCTGGGTGTTGCGGGTTTCTCAAGGCGTCGTTTCAGCTTCAATCGAGCAATTTTTGCTGGATTTGGAACCTTCTTCCTGGCCTTCGCTTCGTGTCGCTAAAGTTGAAGCCTGTTTCGATCGAAAGAAGGGATTGTCCTCTAAATCTAAAGCACCGTATCTTTTAGTACCCATTGTGGCTTCTCATGCACAAGAAACTCAAAGTCTCGGAGCACGAGTCTAGGAGTAATGAACACCTATCCTTGCCTTCATGAAGTCAGTGGCTCAAGGCTTAAAGCTGTCCTCGAAGCTGTGGGTTCAAGGACCTCAAGCATCCTGTTCGAAACGACTTCACTAAGCCCAAGGTCTTGCACATGCTTGATCAGCGCTTCGACAAGTCCAAGACGAGTAGGCATTGAGCCATATAAGGCGTGGAATTGAAGGTGTAGGCTTGAAGGTGCAGCGCGCCAAAATCCTATGCCCTCAGCTTGTAGACTTACCATGTAGTCGACCGGCACTGTAACATGCCATGATCTGCTCAAATCTACTTTATCCTATACGTCTCTTTGCCTATAATCTGTCATAGTTTTACGCGTGTGTGTGTGTGTGTCCAGAAATCAATGTATGTATGTGTGTATATATATATATTATAGACATAGATTTGTCTAATTTTGTCCTATACTCCTATAGCTAAGGGCGGAGCAATAGTTGAAGCCTTCCGAGCGGAGTCCTTCGGAGCGTGCCGGAGGGAGCGAATATGTGCCAGCGTTACCTGCTCACGCGGAGGCTTTGAATCGTAGTGACTCGTAGTGCCTGGGGCTTGGGATGCAACTCCACGGCAGGGTTCCTGAGGGTTTCATAAGGCCTGTGTATACCGTTCATAAACATTTACACGTTTGTTGTGACAGGGCTGGAGAAGAAGCAACCTTGAGGGCCCAGTGATGACTATGAGGGTCGGTCAAGCCCTGAGTCCGAGAGCCCATGGCCCCCAAATCCGCCAACCGCAAACCCCTTCACCTAAAGGCCCTCAAGGCCCTAAAGTCCTTCCGCGCTCCGACACGTCCTAAACACCCAAAGCGCCTGTCATGGCCGAAGACGCACTGTACCCGCCGAGACCAGAGCAGGCGTACATGGCCTTTGGACGTTGCGCACAAAATGCCCGTAGGGTTTTAGACGGATTTTTGATTGCGCGTGAAGTTTTTAGGGGCCTGGGGAGGTTTCTCAGGCTCTGGTTCAGGGCTGTAGGCTTGCCATGGAGCTTCAGGATGAAGTGTGCGTTGAACTTGTATTTGAAAGCGGGGTGTGCCCCTCTTATTGGGGGACTGAAATGAGTGACCCGTCGGTCCTTCAGCGCCATCACTTTATGTTGCACACGTTTGCCCTAAGCCCAAAGCCTTACATGGATTGTCAGGTGCTTCGACAGACGCCTTCCAGCTCCACTGAAGAATGGGGTCCGAACTTCGCGAATCAGGGGTGTAGGTGGCACATATTCCCTTAAAGAAACAGAGCAGATACATATGAGGACATATGCACATGTATGTAAACCCTTCTGTAGACTGTATGCAGCATGCATTCATTGATGGATGTATGCATGTCGACATTCACAATCACAAGCACCGGTACTATCCAAAACAACATGTGCCCTGCCACTAAACAGCTTACACCCTAAATACGAATTCCGTAACTGCACTACATCTTGAAACAGTGAAAGCCGCAGGCTAGGGCGCAGAAGCCCAAAGACCTAAACGGGGCTGTCTCAACTTTGCCGGGTCCCTCTTTTGAGAAGCTTGTGTTGACATATTTCTGCTGATCAACATCCTGCATATATTGAAATCGCGGCATATTCCCACACAAATATAAGTATGTATTGCAAGACTTTCTTTGTCCATCAGCGGTCGTGAAACGCTTAGCATCCAGATCCCTCAGGCGAAATTCACCTGAGGAGCCGACTGCAGGAAGTCAGAGAAAGGGCTCGCGGAGGCTGAACGCGCAGACAGTCCGTAGAAATGCTTCGGCGGTGTGACGCATGCAGCTTTACCACAAGGCGCATGCATGGTTACTACCGACGGGAAGCCTTGCGCCGATCCTCACCGTGGCCCCAAATACGAAATATCGAGCCCGATCAACCCTGATGCCTACGAAAAGTCCTACGAAAGGTAGGTTTAAGGACTAACGTGGACCCCCCTTTTCGGGGACGGCCGCCTCTTATAGGCTCTCAGTCCCAACGCGTGAAGCCTCAAATCGTGAAGACATCTACCCTGGATTCCTAAGCTAGAGGCTAAGCGAGTTTGAGCTGGGGGCTTTGCGGTGTAGTAGAACTATAGATTCTAGGAGTCTTTTTTCAGGAGCCCTATTGCTGCTTTTCGGGCTTCGATTTTTTTGCTGGCCGCGGCCTTTTGCAGGTTTTTCGGGCTGAGGCTGTCATTCAGGACCTGCATGCTGCATCAGGTCCCTGCTTCAAGGTTGAGGACTTCCGGGAACACAGGAGTGGCTAGGATTGAAAACTTGCTCAGGTGTTCTTGACGGTAGATTTAAACCCTAGGCTGAACTCCAAGAAATGACGAAACTCGAAATCCGTCTAAAGCCCTGTACTCCCCCCCCAGAGCAAGACCCAAGACACGGGCCTTTAAAGTAGCAGTGTTCCAAGGGAGATTTTCCTCCCTGCTCTGCGTAGTACACACCAAAGACCTTCTTGTGGTTTAGAGCGCCGCTAGTCATGGGGCTCTACGGAGTCAGGGCAGGGTTTAGGTGAATTACATTGAATTCGAGTTTGGGGTAGTTGGGATTTCAGGGTGTCGTTTCGCTGGTTTAGGTGCAGGGCCTTTGTAGAGTTTAGGTTTAGGCTGTCGTGCCTCAGCCAGACAGAAAGACTTGCAAGCTACTTGCAGGTTGTCTGCAAAGTGCTTTTAGGCTTTATACTTCAGACAAGGTCGTAGAACGTTCATATGGGTGCATAGGTTTGTTCTGGTGGATCCTACAATGAGAACTTGAAGGAGTCATATGAGATCATGTGAGTTAGTAACGGCGGTAATGGGGCTTGAGTACTTCTCCTGGCTGAGTCCACTGAGTTTTTAAGTATGGTTTGGGTTGAGAGCTTGAGGGCTACCCAGGACAAAGCGACCCTGTGGTAGGCCACCAGGGCCGACACAGGCCAGAAGAAGAAGAAACAGAAGAAGTTGAAGTGGTCCTACCAAACATGAGCCGAACCCCCAACCTAAACCTGACACTCAGAAAAAGATTCCTGCATTCTGCAATCCACCCTCAACATTCCTGAACCCTCTTGTCTGGGGCTCTTCCCTTGCAGGCTTCCAGCAGCATTGCCATAGGTTTTCAAGGGGTCACACTGATCTGCCATTCAAGCTGTGCAGGGTGGACGGCTGCGTCATACCCGCCCTCCTCGGTCTTGATGCAGTGTTGTCGGCTTGTCGACAATCTCTCCATCTCCCGACACCCTTGCTTGAGCAGCTGGTGGAACGCTTGCCACAGGAACATCCTCAACTGATAAGTTTCCTAGCACAAACAAGAGATCCAGGCAAAGCCTTCCCCCCGAGAACTTGTCGATCTCGTCAACCCTAGCCCTTGACATAGTCACTCCAGGCAAAAGGGCACCCGGAGCTGAAAACTCCGGAGCTGAAAACTGAATCGGCGTTTCTCCAGAATCACAGGCTAGATGCAAGCCGCACCCTGTTTCCGTATCTCCGTTTTCTTGCGGCATTCTAGACGTTCAAGCAAGGAATCCATGTTCCTTCTTGAAATGCAAGATGCTTAACTCCTCAAACCTAACCCGTAAAACCAACAACTGTCCATCGTAGAATGAAGGGTAGGATTCTCCGGAATTCATCACTCAGGTAGTGGCGTAGTCTGCAACATCCCAAATGTTGGACTTGCCTCGCAGCGATGAGGTCGAATTCATGGATGCTACTCTCCAGCTGGTTCTCGTTCTTACTTGTGAGTACTATTGTTCCGCTGCAGGATTTGCCTGGTGAAGATCTGCTTTCCTTCGTGCGAGGCATGTCTTGACGTTCTTCAATCCTTTAGAAGACTTCAGCGTCAAGATCAAGGGTGTCAGAAGAGACGCCTGTGATTCCATGCTGTGTTGTGAGCACCCCTGATGCAGAGCTCACATTCCGGGCTTTCAGAATCTCGGCCGGTGCATTTATGCGAAACGAGGAGAGCCGCTTTGCACAAACAACTGGAGGCACAGTCAAATAAGAATACCAACCCGTGTGATCCCGTGTGCCCGTGCATCCGAGCAGTAGAGCGCACGAAGCACTACACTGCTGCCCGAGGACGAAAACATCGAACCAGCCAAGCCCTAATACCTTTCAGAGTTAAGCAGCATGGGATGCAAGCTTACTGTATGATCCTACCATATTAGACTCCACATATCCGGAAATGCGTAGCCCCAAAATCATGTATGCTGACTCCTGCAAGAAAGGAGAAACGTCAACGATCAAGTGGAGCACTGCTCTCCAATTTAAGCCACGGTTCGGGGCAAACGTTGTAAAGTTTGAACACCTGATGAATTCTTATTCTGAAGCCTTGAGGCACTCAAAGAGGTTCGGGCACGGTCCTGGTGAAGCCTGGAACCACAGGAAATCCAACCTGAACCGTGTTGCAAACAACTGTGAGATGATTGTGAACACTACACCTGAAACTCAAGGGAATCTTCACCGTAAGCTACCAGAAAACCTCATACATCAACACCAGAAGTCTGGGAAATGCACAGGCTTCCGGGATCTCCAAGCATCGGAATTCCTTCATGTTCCGGCACGCATCACCTGCTTGGGGCCATGAGGGCCTTAATCGAGTCTTCCTGGGTTTTGAGAAGCCTTCACAGGGGCTTCTGAGGTTGAGGAAATTCGAGGGCGCCAGGGGTTTAGGGATTTCTGTGGCTGGAGCTGCTCCCAAGATTGTTGGGGGGCAGGCTGGCTCACCCAACGAACCCTCTGATTCCTGCTTTCGTGAAGCAATATAGGACTTCAAGTCTTACTTCATGTTTCCGTACAAGTTTCCTGCTGATGGAATTTCTTCCTCATGTTTCCATCTCAAGCAGGATGATGCCTGTTTGCAAATACGTGAATCCCGCAACCCTACGTCCTGGCACCCATGCTCAGGCTCAAACCACAGTGTAGGAACCAGCACCCAACGAACCCCATGACAAGGTCCACACTAAGAGCCCTGATCCCTGATAATAAGAACCAGATACTATTGCATGTTGCATCCGACAAGTGCTGAAGCACCGTAGCTGCCCACAGGGTTCGAGTCTAGATACCGACTCAGGATCAAGTTCCGCGAATGCAGAACGAAGATCGATCATTCCACAGATTATACAGCATTCGTACATATAGTTGCGTATGACATGGTATTGCATGGCGTCGCTTACGATAGTATAGAAGTACAGTGGGCCCCCGCCTACGGCGCTGCCCACAGCCGGTGCATGAGAGTCCCGATCGGCAACGCAGCTGACATCGTTGTTCCAACCTGTGGCTTCATCAGGGTTGCAGTGACAGGGGTTCAGGCAACTGTGAGCCCTGCATCATCCTGCATCAATCTTAATCCTCAATCCTACTAGTCAGTGTTGCTGCATGCAGTCGTCAAAGCAGAAGCGCGACCCTGCTGTTGATTGCTGATGCCACGTCTCAAGCTCCCTGATGGCTACATGCTCGCGGTCTATCTAGGTCCAGGCAGCATCATGTCCATCTTGGCTTTCCCATGGTGAGGAAAATGCGTTCTGCTTGGACGGGAGGCAAACAGGGGCAGTACACACATAAGCCAACATCTAGGCTTGAGGGTTCAAGCTCTACGGTTTGCATTCCAAGCTTCTGACCTGTGCTTCAGGGGTCTGGAGTTATCGAACTCCATGCGAAATGAGCCTCTCGCCCCTCAACGGCTATGCACTTCTTATTCTGGGACTCAGCATGCCAAAGACTAGTCATTCAAGAGAAGGACTATGGCCTTCTGGCTTCGACACCAGCAAACTTCCACAAGCCTGACCCTCAACCCGAAATCACCGAAAACCACCAAATACTACCGTGTACCAAACCATTGATGCCTACAAGGACTCTGCCCAACCCAAAGCCCTTCAACCTCACAGCTCGCGATGCTGAGTGCCCAGCTTGCCCAGCCAGGTTGCTCCTGCTTCCAACGGTTGAGGTTTGCCGGTTGCCCTTTTCGGGCTTAGGGCTTAGGCTTAGCGCTCACAGAGCTTGGGGCCTTGGGGCTGAAGGTGTCGAGCTCGCGGCGATTTTGGTTAAACGATGAATCATATTTGGGCGCTGCAGTTCTAGTAACTGAACATGAATATACTGATACCGAAGTAGATGAGGACACGACACGGGAGTAAGGCAACTACTGCTCTCATGCTAAAGTACCTGTAGTAAGCCGCGATCCGGGAACTTGAGTTCGATGTGTCCGGAGTACATTACTGGCATCCCCAAGTCATGAAACTTCAACAGAACTCGACACCGGCAAGCTCTTTCCCATTGTCCCCAAACAGCAGGGTTTGCTCAACTTGCAGCCCTTCAACAGCGAGTTGAAGGAATCTGCTTTAATCCCAAGCTATTGGTCGTTTCATAACATTGCACTGTGCTGCGCGATGGTTCAAGCCACGGATTTTGCCGGCTCTTCCCACGGTGTACTTGGAATCTGAGCCGCGAACGGCAACCCAAAAAGGACAAAAGAACCATGCTGCAGACCCAGCTTCATCCCAAACCCTCAACGTCGGGAATCAAGGCTGTAGAGAACAGGTCGGGAGTGGGAAAGCTCGAAGCCACATTGCATTTTCAGACATCAAGCGAAATGCGCCCGAAACAACCCAACTTAGCGCTGGTAGCCCAAAACCCTCAATCCTGAAGTGCTCCTACCATTCGACGCACCAGTTGACTGTTCGATCTAAACGCGTGCACCCGTCCACACCCCGAAGGTGCGCAGCACACAACTACAAGTAGTACCAAGAGCCTGTGCTGCATTGGGATGACAAGCCTTCCTTTTTGAACGCTAATTTCGAACTGAAACAGTCGAAAGCCAGACTTCACCAGCCTTGATTTCACACCCTGCTGCCAAACTAGACCGTCACCGACATCGGCTGACATCACACTGCATCTCGTTGATCCACAACATCCCGGCTATCATCATCCTCCCTCTGTTTTTGTCTCCACTGTCGAGCTTCTCCACCTGGTAGGCAGCAAACAAGACGTGTTGGCTCCATGAGATCCGGACCCCAACCCAGGCCCGGACGACTACGCGCGATGTTTAAGCTTCATGATATCTTATGATGTTATGCATTACCCTGGAAACCCTTACCCAACAGAAATGCGAACATAACCAGAACAAGAATTCAGAAGCCTTGCAGTCTGAAGCAACATACATGGACAGACTTCACACCCTGGCGACCTGCAGTGCGACAACCAATGAAGCGAAACGGAGGGATCCTGCGTCTGCAGTGTTCAGGGGTTGCGGGTTTGGGGTTTTGGGTTGCGTTGTGGGGTTTTCGGATTGAAGATTTCGTGTTTCGTCATTAGGCTGAGGGCTTTTCTTGTGCGGCTTCAACTGGGCTTCCATGATTAGAGATGAGGCTTGAAGACGGCGAAGGTCGGACGCCCGCTTAGCTCTCAGCAGCGCTTCAGGATTTAGGTCCCTTAGGCTTAGAGGTTTTTTGGATCTTGGCGAGGGGTTCTGCTTCAAAAACTCATGGGTAGCTGGACAGGGCAGCCGTCGTAACATAAGACGTAGAGCGTTGCAGCTAGCTAGCCTTTTACACTAATGGCTATACTTCTCTTCAGCACATACATGCAATACCAGGGCAGCTCTGCGAAATACGTTGTTGCTCCTGCATCTCTCTGTTCTCAAGTTCAGAGGTGTATACACTCCCCCCCTCGCCTCGAAAACGCGAACAGTTTAAGTTGCAGGAGCCGGAACAAGCAAAGTGGGACTTGAGGCAGAGGGTTTTCCTCATCACCCTTCGCAAAAGCAGAGTCTTCCTATCACCATCTAGCATTGGGTGGGAGACCCAGTACTACAACGGGAAGAGAGGTTCCGCTGGGGAATGTCGAAGCTACTTGCTGGGTGGTTGAAGGCATCACCCCCGGCAGGCCTTCACGGCGACCCTCCTGGAAAGTGAATCCACGTGCCTCAACCGTTTTTGGGTTTTCGGCTTAGTCGCACGGGGCTGGAAAACACGTTGAACAAATACATCCGAAAAGCGTTATCGGGTTCTAGTTCAACTGGCCTACGAAGTTCATAAGAGGAACAAGACCATCCCCAAGTGAACAATGGAAAAACTCGAAGGACTTGAAACCGCTGGATCTCTTCGGAATCCTCACTGAACTCTACATTGTTCTCATCTCGGGTGACTCGGCTTACAGGCTTACAGGATTTACGGCAAAGGTTCAACATGTTGTTTCTTCTAGACTTGCAACAAGATTCTGACTTTGCAACTCTGGCTCGCAGTCAAGGCTTCTCTGTCATAAGCAAAACAAGCCAATTCCAACTTTTCGGCAATTTTGTTGCTACAGTGGGAATCGGCTGACAAACTTTTTATTGAATCTTGCAGCCGTACTTACAAATACACATGATCTGCACCGGCTTCCGGTTGTCGACTGAGGTGTCAACAAATTCGTCGCGGTCGTGCGAGTTCGTGACCTGTGCAGCTGAACCCTCACGTGACCGCGCTACCGGAAGCCATTCAAACTCAGTATTCTGCTGTCAAACCAGCAGCCGTAAACCTTGCGTCACGAACACCCTGTCCCGGCCAACAGCCCAGGAAGCGCAACACCTGAAAGTTAAGGAATGTTCCTTGAACCTGAACCGTTCTAACTTCTAACCCTGGGAGTCAATAAACACATTCCTGAATCATGGGCAATGTTGTTCCGTAGCGTTCCCTGATATACTTATAACGTAAAAGAGTCGACAACCACAGTCGTCTAGTCTAGGCCTTTGTCTTGTCGGGCTGATTGGGTGGAAAGTGTTGTTTTCGAACGAGGTTCAGGGCTTGGACTTCTGCAGATCCCAGGTTTCACGGCTTTCGGGAGCCAAAAGCCAGAGGCATGACACCTAAAGCCCTGATCTGATTGTAGTTAGCCGCCATGTCACGGGCCATGTCTGTCTAAATCCTACACCCACAAAGCCTGAAATCCCTAACCCTTAACACCCTCCGGCCCCTGGCCCCCGACCCTAAAACTCTAAATTCCGCAACACTCAAAACTCCTGCCCCCTGAATCCTGAAGCCCTTCAAGCCCCAAACCCACAAACTCGTGATACCTCAACCCCACTAAACCCGTCACGCTCCATAAATGCATCGACTTCTGCCCCCGGCCTTGCCACCGAAATGCGCGACCAAACGATCCTTGGGAGGTGGCGCGCCACAAAGTCTAGTTTCCTTGAGGATACGGCATCGTGTGTTGCCGTTAAACAGGTTAACTGGGGTATTCCATCTACCAATCAGCGCCGTCTAGGTTTGAGGGTCTGGGGTGTAAGCTATTGTGAAAGAGGCTTTTGCCAAGAGAGTCGAAAGGTATTAGGTTCGACCTTCGGTATGCTCTGACTCAAGCTTGTTGCGAGGGTGCGAAGCCTGCATGGATTTGGGGTCTGTGGCTTTGAAGGCTTCAGGTTTTGGGGATTAAAGTCGTCGAGCAGGGCTTCTCGGCCGAGCTGGTAGCAGTCTCAAACTACAGTATCACAGGGACAAGGACATTCCAAACTCTGAGCCCGTGAAGGTCGAAGAACCCTCAACCACACCTAACCCTCCTCTGGGACACCCAAGCCCTCGCAGTGTATGCACAATGGACTGAGCTTAGGTTTCCGTGGCTCCTTGCGCACACAAGTGCTAGACATCAAAACGAACGTCCGAATGCCGAACGCAACTCCCACGTTTTTGGCATTTTTTGGACCTGTTATTCCAACACCAAATCATGGACGCAACCGTCAAGAAAACCTACTTGCCTGTGAACGCTCAACCCGGTTGCCGACGTCATTCCTGAGCTTCCTGCAGAACAGGTTAACAAGGTAATGCGAATAGGGGTACCTGAAACCCTAAACCTATGCCGCAACCCAAACCCTAAATCCCACCTGCGGCAGTTTGGTCCCCGGCGATGAAGACTTGCATCCTTTCTGGTTTCTCCTGCCTCGTATATCGGGAGTGAGTGTCCCTTTTGACTGGAACCCCTGGACGAGGTATTTTCAGAGGCTGTCTGAAGTGATCTTCACGTATTGCGGCGGGTCCAAGCTCAAGGGGTCGTCTCCTGTCAGTTAGGGCTTCTGGTGGTTTATTTAGAGTATAGGGGTCGGGGACTAGAGTGTATTCATTTGGTGCGGTTTTTCTTGCGGTTGATGCGTTTGGATGTTTTGTGGTGACCAATCTTTTGTGAAAGGAAATAAAGTAGGATTTCAGATGCAAAGCTAAACCTACGCCCATGCCACCGCTATAGCTTCCGCCACGGGCGAATATGCTATCATCCACGAACATCTGGACAACTTTCTATGGATGTGCCGCTGGGGTCCTTAAATTGGAAATCCATTCTTGCGCTCTGACTTTTCTAGTTGAGGGTGCCTTTGTAATCAGGATCCTACAAGTCAACAAATGCTGTTCAGGCCCTAAGCCCCCCACCTTATTTATATCAGTACGGGGATACGTCATGTTCTGACGCTCCAAGACGAAATGCCAATTGAGTTGTATGCCCTGCTAGCAGCCAGCATCTCCCCGACAAAGCAGCCATGTAAACACGGAATTTGGTCCGTGATTTTGTGGGTGTTCTAGCGGCTTCATCGGGGCTCTTTAGGGGTTGTAGAACCTGACGCCCACATCCTGAACTACTCAGGCACACGATGAGGAGTGCCAAACCCCAGAGTCAGTCCACTGGGCAAGCAGCTTCTGAACACCATGAACATCCAAGCGCTGCAGTCAATGAGTCGAGTATGGACCCATGGTATGGTACGCATGACCCTACCCACAAGCGCTCATGAACCCACAGCGAAACCCTGAACCCTGCTTCCCTGCGTGCCTATATCTATCCATGAGCCTTCGAAAGTTGCCTCCAGGCCATCTCGTGCCATCCGAGTGGCTCAGCAATACTCCGGTATCCGTGGGAGGTGAGGGTGACCTGTGCAGCGCAACAGTGCTATCGCTCACACATCCTGTCTTAGTCTATTGGGTATCCGAAGTTACAGCCTTAAAGAATGGAGGTTTGCCCCTCAGAGATCCACGTGAGACTTCTTTATCCAGGGTCCTTTTCACAGGCATACTAATTGTTGACTGAAAAAACATTGCAGGGCACAGAACATAGGCTCCTCCGAGTGTGATGTCTTGCAGCTGTCTTGCTGTCAGGGAATTCGGAATCCTTTCTAGGGGTCTTTATCATAAGGATCCCGGTACTTGGGTCAAAACTGGGGGTGCTTATTCCTGACACGCTCCCATATTTTATTACAAGAGTCTCCAAAGGCTCATCAAGAGTCACTTCTCCCTTCCAGAAACCTCGAATTATAGCTGCAAGAGGGCCTCATTCATAACCGTCCTTTTATTTTTTCTTGCTGCAGTGTCAGTATGAAGCATGCCAGCACAGAACCTTCAAACCATCCAGCATGTCCGTGATGGCCACAGCAACCTGGCATTCTGCACGGACCCGTCGCCAGAAAGAGACGGAGGCGTCAACGACATCTGTCTTGCCTCTGAGTTTCCTTCGGATGCGTCTTCTTCGACAGGTTGGTCGTCTCCTTCAGCTGTCTCGCACAGCTCTTGCCGCCGCATCTGCCGGCCGATTGCTCCTGCGACTCCATGATCGCAAGTCTCATCGTTCCGTGCAGTTCCGCGGCGATTGACGGTTCCGACATCTTCGGCCGAGACCATCGCAGGGCACCGTTCGAGCGCTTGGACAACAGCGCAAATCGGCTTCAACTACTTTCATCAACTAGAGTACCGGGCTCCGAGCATGGCCGAGCCCGTGTTCCTGGCTCTTCTTAGTGGCTCCTCGCCTCTGGCCATGGTTTGACCCACTTTTGCTTTCTGGTCGGCCTGCTCCCTGAGCCGCTTGGTGACCCGAGATTCTAACTCTGACAAGGCCCCAACATACTGCTCGGGATGGGGCAAGACACCGGATTTTGATGTCCTGACTGATGGATGCCATAAATTCTACCTCCGGCTCCCGAACTGTGTATGGATCCGTACCTCCCGTAATATGAACCGCTACTCTTGACACTTGCGCACGCACAACGTCGCGCAGGTGTGACTCTTTGGGACTGAGTCCGGCATCACTGCATTTTCCAGCAACAGCACGTGGCAGGACTTGCGAAGTGTGTGCCACTGCTCTTCAGCCAACGCATTCCGCTCAGTGAGAGGCGCAGATGTAAAGCTGCGGAAACATCATCCAGCAACATCCTTTGTCAAGAATCGCATCCCTCACGGATTGCAGGTGACATCGTAACGGGACAGAAGCTCATTCTCAATTTCACGTGGGCACTCTTGGGTGGCCATTGCAAGAGCTACATCAAGGCAAGCGATAGCTCTGTCGGATGCATGATGGCCGCATTCTTTTCGATGGCAATACATGGGTGCTTCTGCCCCTATTGTACCAACAGCAATGGCCGTGACTATGCTACTGAGTTCAGCTTTCCTCAACATCTGCGATTCGCAACAAGCAGGCGGGGTCCTGCAAGGTTTGGAGGTTTCAAGGCTTAAAGGGTTAAGTCAATAATTTACATCTTAATGGCAAGTCTTAATGCTGGCTAGGCAGGAGGAGCCGTGGCGGAATCTTAGAATGCAAGTAGCCCAAAAACCCTGAGTCCAGAAGTCCTGCATTGTAAATTACATATTGACGGCTCAACTTCGGCATTTTTGGCCTTGCGAGGATCGGGAATGCAAAGCTGCGAGAAGTCCTGCAGGCGTCGCGAGGGTCTCGCCCGAATGTCACTTCAGCCATTTAAGTAAGTGGGCAAGCGAGATGGCTGCTGTTGTTGGGGCCAGAAATCTTGGGTGGCCTCGGTTCCCGATACAAGTACTTTCAGTCTTGGGCGCTGAAGTTACTCCTTTAGTTTTGGGACCTTCGGAGCTGTGGCTGTTTGAGAATTAGAACAGTGGTGGCAAACTCAGCGCGTCTGCTCCTCTTGTTGGGCTCCTGCTGACCTAGCTGTCAGCTCCGGCACAATCACCTGAACTCCATCTCCTAAACCCCAAGCATCAAAGCAGCAGATCCGGTTCTATAAGGTTGTATACGGTCTTTTTCAGCCATGGGCCAAAGCTCCAAGATCTCAAGTACCTGCGCCGCACTCTTGAATCCTGAAGCTGTCAACCGACCAAACAACACTAAATCCAGCAACCTTGAGGCCTACATCTCTACACTTCTGTACACACCAAATCGGAAAAGTGCTTCTGAACTGCTCTTGCTTCTAAGACGTGAAAGCCGTTTCTAAAGCGAAGGTCCGCGGAGCCGCCGTAGGCTGAAGCCACAGCACGTGGCAGCTCACCATCGCCCTGCAAGGGCCGACGCTCGGCCGTTTCGGTACGAGGGTATGCATGTTCGTTTTGAAGGTGATTCATCAAAACGGTTTATGGGGTTGGTCTTCCTTTTCTCCGTCAATAGCGCCGACAAAAAAGACAAGCTTTGCCGTCTAGAGACCCTGGGAATTGAAATTATCCTACTGACTAGTCAAGTTTCGTACGAGGGTATGTATAAAAGTGAATATCACAATAAATAGACACGAAAAATTAATAGAGAAACGAATAAATGGAAAACTAAGCAAACAAATTAATACGCGACTAAATACAAAAATGTGTGTATATTTATATACATGTAATATGTGTGTGTGTATATATATATATGATTATATATGTGTGATTATATCTCGGGTGTTGGGCTTTGTGCGGTTTGGGGGTTCGGAGGCAGCTAGAACAACGGAGGCAAACGCGCGCTGGAGCAACGTTGCAAGCCTTGTCGATATGTGCACTAAACCTGCTTGACTACCCATGAAGCTGGAAGTGCGTCCTGCCTTGCAAGGCTCGCTTGCCAGGGTTGCGCAAAGGTTTACCGCTTCGCTAGTATTTCCAGTGCCTCGAGGGTTTGGAAATGGCTGGAGGGGACCGTAAAGCCTAAACTGCCTAAACCTCACAAAACTCAAGCCCCGGCTACACAAGCGGCTGCAGGGCAGATAGTTGGACGACAGCGCGCCCAGTAAGAAATCGCTCGTTTTGATCTCGGGGTTTGAGGCTTAGTGTTTGTGGTTTCTGAAGCCCAAGCAGGTCACTGTTCAGTCACTTTAAAAGTCTGGCTGGGCATGCAAGGCTTCCATGGCTTACATTGAAAACCCTTCAGCCGCCGGAAGCATGAATGAAACCGAGCTTTTCACCCTCTCCGACCTGAAACTTTTTGGGGTCTTTTTCGGTTTCTTCTCGGGCCTTGGCTGCTGGCACCAGGCACCAAGCTTGGAACTCGTCTCCGAAGTAATCGAACTCGGCCACGGGGTAGTCCTGTGGGGGGCGATTTCCGTTTTAGATAGGGGATAGGGGCACGCCACCGGGGCTGCTTTTCATGTGCAAGGGCAGTTCTAGCTTGGCCTGGCTGCATTTCGCCTAAGCATGCACACCGAGGCGGAACTTTGCTTCACAACATCGAGCAATGCCAAGTGCAAGCCGCGGTGGGAGCCATGAACACAGCTTTACAACGGATTCGCCCCAACAGCTAGTTCATGTGTCTGATATCCTCGTTGGAAGCAGTGGTAAGTAGGACAGCATGGCCTCCTCCTTTCATGGGCTAGAACTGCTTAGCTTAACTGTTCCCAGCCCCACTGCTGGCCTAAAGAACTGGGAGGAAACGGAAGAGAATGACATCGATCAAAGTATACTTCCTACAGCCGTACATCCAAATCCTTATATCCTAAATCCTACTAGTAGGGGTTGAACCCGAACCCGTACAAACTGGGCCCAAAGCCTTCCGAACTCCTGCACCCTAACCGTCAAACCCAAACCCCAAGTCTCAAATCCTACACTCAGAATTCCATCCCCTACTAAAGCCCCTGACATTCCTTGGATCTTAATAGTCGGTGCCACCAAAATAGGGGGCTCCACATGCTAAACCATGGACCCTACACGAAAGTTGTTCGCTTCGGTCCCCAAGTTGGAAGATGCCGAAATCCATCTCGCTGCCCCCCTTGTCATAGCCTGAGGGTTTCCGACTTTACCCGGAGGGTACGTAGGGTTGGGCCTTGGAGGGCCGGGCAGGTCTAAACTTTCGGGCTGCAGGGCTCCCCAACCAACGAGCTTCTAGATGCTTCTCTACGAACACCCAAAGTCTCATAAAGCATCAAAAGTCCAGCAGATTCTCGCAACAATCCTAAAAGACAGCCTAACTCCAGGAGCCGAATACGGGAGCCTTGATTTGCAGAACAGCGGGTGGAGGCATATTATGACTACGAAGGCAGACTGTTACTACTTGTTCAGGCCCCCTCCCCAAGCGCACTTGATGTCGGGAGTTGACAAAGATTGCACGGGTGCGAGATTGCAAATCACTTGGCTCTAGCCTTAAAGCCTTACCTCTAAACCCCTCTCCTAAGTAAATGGCTAATCATTGCTCCAAACCCTTGGCCAGGGACGGACATGGAACTCGAAGAAGGACACGCCGCTCAGCAAAGGGGAGCCTGCACCCCGGTTGTACTCACTACTCAAAGGATCAAGTGGCCGTGGTAAGTAGGTTAGATTTGAGGATAAGACCATTTGTAATCCACATACTGGCTGCCTTGATCCTTCAAGTAGGATTGGTGGGCTGCAACTACTAAGTACTACTACTACTACTACTACTACAGTACTGCTACTACAGTACTGCTACTAGATTACTACTACTGCTACTGCTACTACTACCACCACCACCACCACCACGACTACTACTACGACTACGACGACGACGACGACGATTACGACTACGACTGCGACTGCATCGGCGACTGAGACTACGACAAACTCCTACGACGACTACTGCTACGACTGCTACTCCGGTCCTGCTTCAATACTCGATATTGTGGGTGTTGCTGCTGCCCTTACGCAGAAACACAATGGCTGCTGAATAAGTATTAAGGCCGTTAGTTTAGCTCGGGCTGTATGACGATTTGCAACAGGAGCTCACGCAGTAACCTGCCTGATTCTTAGTTCTCGCGTGCGGATAAACAAAAAGTACCCTCAAAGGCTATTCTAATCTGATGCGCTCCTCCAAAACACAAAGATCTGATTTCGGTCCGCATATCCCCTGTTATGATACTTGACTTCGGCAACAGTGCTCATGGGGTCTCTTCATAGAGTAATACTGCGCAAAGGTTCATACAGTCCTTTCCGGCGTAGGCTGCAGAACTCGCACAGAAGCCTCGCGCTATCTCCAAGATCTCCTTCAGGTCTTTGGCAACCTGGGACAGAGGAAGACAGAGCAAGAATGGGAAGCGTAGCTTCGGGATTGAAGCAGTATACGTGTGCGATGAACGTAGCATGAAGACCATCTTCGCAGAAGAGATTACCTGCGAACCCCAAGCCCTTCTTGCAGCCTACACAAGCGTTCCAGATCAACAGCTGGAGTAGCCTCTCGCACTTCTCAAACTTCTGTTGCTATGTCGAAACTTACAGATGTGAGTGGTGCCGTACCTGTCGCGTTGCATCCCTTGTATGTGACGGTACATATAATCGCAAAACAAGCTCACTAAACACACATATATACATACACACACGCACACAGACGTATATACATACATACATATATATATATGGTATTATATTATATTAAATTATATTATATCATATTATATTATATTATATTGTATATATGTATATGTAGTATGTATATACATATACATAAATATTAAACGAATATGTATCAAATGCATCTATAAATGCATGCAAAGTACAGTTTACATTGAACGCCAAACAATGCATTAACAGAAAAAAGGCAACATGCAATTTAAATAAGCAACTAAACACAGACATATTTGGTAGCTGGGTAAGTGGGTAGGTAGGTAGGTAGGTAGGTAGGTAGATGAACAGGCAAGTAGATAGATAGATTAGATAGACATATAGATAGATAGTTGGATGGAAGGAACAACCTGTGTATGTATGTGTGTATATGTATATATATATATGTATATGTATGTGTGTGTATATATATATATAGAGAGAGAGCATGCTTACATGACTGTCTCCATATGCACTTAGACTGAAACCCTGAACCTGAAACCCTAAAGCATTTCTACACTAACCGAACCTTTCTTTCTTCGACTGTGCACCGAGCGCACCCTGAGACCCTGAGCAACGGGCATCTGCGTGTGGACTGTGATACTCCTAGCATCTACCAGGGGCTAAGGGTTTTTGCTTGATGGTGTAGGACGATTTTGATTCATTGTCTGGGGCTTAGGATTTGCCGTCAAGGCCGGGCTGGGACTGACGATGATTTTTCGTTGCATGTAGGTCCCTTATATAAAGTATGAGCGTGGTTTAGGTTGATTGCTTCGTAGGGTTTTACATGGTTAAGTTCTTTTGGTTCAAAGCATAGGGATTTTCGGGGTTCAAATCACTAAGTCACTGAGGAGTTAGGGCTTGTGGGTTTTGAGGGAATACGTAAGGGTCTAGAGCTTGTTGAATGGCAGGGTTCAAGGTGCTTGATCTTCCATGCGCATCCTAAGGTCGAAATCAAATCCGCGAAATTCGGCGGCAAGTCCCAAGATCGCAATCCACACGTGCTACGATCACCTGAACCTGTAAATCTGAACTTGACACATCCATCCTAAAACCCAAATGTCTGGATCCCAAAACCCTACATGCCGGAGAATCGATGCCAGGTAGCTGAGCTCGAAGCTAACCATAGTATCGAAATAAACCCCCAATGAACGACATGTAAAAGTGCTTATTCACATCACCATCACTGCAAACAATAAATGAACCCTTGCACCTTAAACCTACGCCCTCGTCTGCGAAACTGAAGTTTTGAACGTCTCGAGCGCGAGTATGGGTTGGGGTGGTCAAGATCACAAAGCAGGCCATCGAACCCACAAGCCTAAAACTCCGCTGAACTACTGTAGCAGATTGTTGCTTACCATGGACTGTGCGGAACTTGTCCATCAGCAGCAACCCGACCCTTCCAACAGCTCCTGGATCATGACGGGAGTGGTCGGAAATTCAGACTCGTACCTTGCGGTAGCGTCGCACCCTAGGCTCCGCTTACAGGGCTTGGGGTTTGGGTTCAAGAATCGGGTTTGAGGGTTCGGGTTTGAGTTTAAAGTTTAAGGTTTGTTCAGTGTTTAGGGTCAAGCAACCCTGCCCCCCAGGAAACCTAGAAAACCGCGCAGCAATACAGTGTGAGGGATATCAGCCCTAAACCCTTGGACCCCACAACACCTGAGTCTAGCCATGGTTCCCAAGAACGAGGTAGGGGAGTTGTAGGGCTTGAAAGCAAACGATTGGGGAAAGAGGACAAAAAGCAACGGGTGCTTTTTCTGTCGGGCCCACTGCCCCAACTCCAACTTACTAGCAGATTATGGGCAGGGCTGCAACAAGGATAACTCAGAATAACTAGGGTAACTAGGGTCCCATAAATGCAAATCGACCTGACTTCTAAGCGCCATGACGTGCACCTGTAGCCTGTACGAACCCTCCGCAGGAGCTACCGGTAAGGGCTGCCGTTCCCCCAACCCAAGAACCTGATCAGAGCAGAAGCCTCGGATAAGGATTTTCTAGGAACCAGAGCTCAACTAGGAACAGCCCCCCCTGGACGATCAGGGATCCTTGAACGCAACTCTAGAAGTTGCGCTACAGCTCGTTGTAATTAGAATTTACAATTCGCAGCTTCCAGCCCCGACGCTGATTCGGACCTTATCCAATCTCTATTCTACAAGGCTTCGCCTTGTACTTACCACATGGGAGTCCAGGACATGCTTGGGAGCAAGATGGCTTCAGGATGTTTGGTGTCCGGCACCCCACTGAACCTCCGCATTTTTTGACTATCGGTGTGCTAAGAATACATAATTAGGGGCCCTGTTAGCGGCCCGAGGTCCTCTGGCACATCGCAGCGGCCGTCTGGGTTCGCTCCGAAGCAGGTCAGCTGACCATCTGCCATAACTGCACAGGTGTGATATCCGCCTGCTGAGGTCAAGACAGCTCTTCCCAAATCTGCGGGAACATCACACTTCCCCTGGTTGTTGTTTCCAAATGAGATCAGCTTGCCATCCGCTTTCACTGCGCAAGTGCGAAACCGACCTGCCGAAGCTGCGAGAACTGGTCCCAAATCTGATGGCACCTCGCATGCCCCGTATTCGTTGGAACCAAAACAGACCAGCTGACGATCGGCGCACACTGCGCAGCTATGGGTTGGGCCGGCAGAGACCGCCACTACTGGTCCCAGATCCGCAGGCACATCGCATGCCCCGTATTCGTTGGAACCGAAACAGACCAGCTGCCCGTCTGCTTTCACAGTGCAGGTGTACGATTCGCCTGCAGAGACTGCCACGACTGGTCCCAAGTCTGCGGGCACAGCGCATTGTCCGTCAGAGTTGTACCCAAAACAAACAAGCTGACCCTCTGCTGTAATTGCACAGGTGTGAGAACGGCCCGCTGAGACGGTCAAGACTGGCCCTAGGTTTCGAGGCACATCGCATTGCCCGTATTCATTCCATCCAAAGCAAACCAGCCGACCATCTGC